TTTAAAAAAAAAAAAAAAAAAAAAAAAAATCCCCAAAAATGGGGAGAACCAGGCATTCGGAATGAAAGCCTTCATCTCAGTTTGACAAAGGAAAGTTATTGAAGGCAAATTCTTTAGCTGGGAAATGTTAAGTCTTAAGTGTTTATACCAGCCCTGCCGTTAACATACATGCTGTATGTCAGGGGTTCCCAGAGTTTTTATGCCACAGCCCAGTGAACTGTAGCCTGGCAAACCAGGGCCCAGCAGTCGCAGCCGACTGACCAGAATTTCCAGATGGAAGACAAGTATGGATACCCCCAGCCCCCAGGCAGCAAGGTGGGCCAAACCCTGTGCTGCTGCGGGCCCTGCAGAAGAAGCCACGGCCTCTCTGCCCAGCTCTGGGGGGTCATGGTTTGCTGGTATGAGGCCACTTCTGGTCTGATAGCTGACTGTGCTGCAGACCAGCAGCCAACCCGCCACATCCCAGCGCTACGCCATGGCCCAGGGATTGAAAACCCCTGCTGTATGTAGCATATAACTTGATGCTTTATTTTGTGATACAGAAGTAAAACAGTCCACTGTTCTTCAGACATGAAATGTAACCACTGTTCTTCTTTTTTCTCCAGCCCAGTGTACTAATTGTAAGCTACAAGGAATTGACAAAATCGGCTTCTCAGTTTGGATCCTATAAGCAAGCAGAATGGAGGTCTGACAGCACTATGATAGCTGTTTCAGTAAGTAGAGACTTTTTTACTGCTGTAGTGTTAAACTAGTAGAGAAAATGTAACAGACATTTAGCATTCATTAACACAACCAGTATCATATCCAACAGCATAAATCATAACCAGTATTTAGCTGGTATATAGCAAGCAAGTTTTTAGCGTGATGTGCATCTGGGTATGGGTGGGAATGGGGCTGCACAAGCCACAGACCCGTTGGCTGCACACCTCCTGAGTGCTCCTTCCGGGTCATGTGGGCATCCAGGCCTCTCTCTGTTGCTACATGGGCTGCCTGGATCTCCCCCTGCTATGTACGCAGCACCTCCAGGAGCAGGAAGCAGAACCCAAAGCGGGAGAGCCTGGAGATGTTGGCTGCCACAGCATCAGGAACAATGGGTGGGAACTGTGGCCAGGCAGAAGCCAGTTGGACAACCCTGATATGTATAGTGAAAATAAGAAAGAAAGGCTAATTTTTAACTTTAACTTAGAGAATATAATTGTTAATTAGCATTATAATAATTCTTAAGAGCCCCATTTATGGTTAATCACTTTGTTGTACCAGGCATTGTTTTGACAGAAATTTATAGAGAGTCCCTACCTGTAAGGAGTTTCTAGGCAAAACTCAGCTAATGGATGAAGGAACCAGGTGGGAATGGGTAAAGGAAGAATTGGGTAGTAATAATGTGAGTGTGTTTTGCTTGATGAGTAGCATAGCTTGTCAGGTATTAGGATGTATAGACATTCCAGCAGAAGTGAATTGTAGAGCAGCCATCTTTTTGTGTTGCTGCACCACATTGGACCATTTTGTTACAAAGGTTGGTGCTTGTTTATTGTACTTTGCGAGATCTTTCCTTGTTTCCTTGTACATGTGCCTTCAAACAGCGGGCATTGCAGCAGGTGCATTGTCTGAGGCTCTGTGCTAGAGTTACAGGTGGTTAAGCCAATGGTTTAAGCCCACTTCTTCATTAGTTCCTTGGAGTGTCTGATTCCAATACATAGGTAGTTGAGACATTGCCACCTGTGCCATGGTTTGTCAGTCCCTGGCTGGAATGTCCCTTTTTTTTTTTTTTTTTTTTTTGCTGTTCGGTATTTTCTTCAGCTTCTCATTCTACAAGTGTAGTCATGTCTCCTTGGGTATGGTATCAAGAAGTTGGGTGCTTGTGAGGGAGCTCTTATAGTTTCATAGTTACTAGGGTCGGAAGGGACCTGAAAGATCATCTAGTCCGACCCCCTGCCATGGCAGGAAAGA